CCCCAAAACCCCAAAACCCCAAAACCCCAAAACCCCAAAGAATTTCCGCATTTTGAAATTTTAAATATGGAATCCACTGATTCAGAACATTTTAGTCTGACTGATTTGCCCGAGGCTGTTGAGACTATGTCCAATAGCCAGATCCTGAAACTCAGAAGTAAATTGGTCAAACTCAAGAAAATGTTGAAAGAGAACAATTGTGGAAATGTCAAAATTGGATATCTTCAGCAATGAATTCGAGCTCAGAAACATAAGTAACCTCCTACAGATGATAAAAACAGAGAAGGTAAGGCTCTTTGGCTTAAATACTTCTTTGTACCTCTCCTATGCTCTCACAGTCCAAGCTTTTTAATCCCAGCGGTTCCTCCATATCCTATTTAGGCTAAAGCTGCTCTTTTGACTAAGGAAGCTAAACTTGAAGATCAGGCTCTTCTCCTTCAGGAGAAGGAGGACAAACTTCAGGCTAAGAAGGAAGAGCTCAAACTTAGACAAGCTTCTGTGGAAAGAATGCGAGAAAAGAAGCAAGCTGTAGAAGACACTTTAATGGTATAAGTAAACAACTAATCGCCAAACACAAGCAAGACAGCGACCAGCTGAAATCTGATGCAGCCAAACTCCAAACAAAAATTACAGAATTTAGTACAAAGAAGGAGACTGGGTACTCACGGTTCTTAAGAAACACTGTGCAGGAGTTATAAGAGGGAATATTAGAGTGCTGTGTAGGGTCAGGGCAGGGCCAGAGGAGGGAGTGAGGGTGAGGAATGATCATTTGGTGGAGGTTACCTTGGAGTCGAAGAGGTGTTTGAAAGGGATGAAAGTGGGAAAGGAGAAGGGTTATGAGCCTAAGGAGAGGTTTGTGTTTGATCATTGCTTTGTACAGGGGTCTACACAAGAAGAGGTATTTTGAGAGGTCCAGAATTTGGTTACTAATGCATTAGATGGATATAAAGTCTGTATATTTGCGTATGGACAGACTGGGTCAGGCAAGACATATACAATGGAAGGAGAATATCATGAAAGACAGCTTTATGGTATCATACCTAGGACTGTTGTCCATATATTTGACCTCCTCAGTCAAAGAGAAAAAGACCAGTGGCGATTTGAGATCCAATGCTGATTTCAAGAAATATATATGAATCAGATAAGAGATCTTCTAGATCCTGAAAATTGAATGACACAGATGAATAAAGCTTCTAGCTATGAGCCAACTCTTGTCAAGGTGTATTCTACAGAATCGGAAGAAAAGCAGACTCCAGTGACTGAAATTTTTGATCTCCTAAAGACAGCTAGAGAGAATAGGGTTACTTCAGATAATAAATTTAACGCAAGGTCTTCAAGATCTCACAGCATTTTTCAGCTATTCATAAACTCAGTGCAGGAAAATTCAGAGAAGAAAGTGAAGTTTGAAGGGTGAGTCAATTTAATCGACCTTGCAGGTTCAGAGAGACTACACAAAACACAAAATGTTAGTAAATAAAGTTCTGGAGGAGTCAAAGGCTATTAACTATAGTCTCAGCTGCTTAAAAGACGTAATTCAAGCAATCTCGAGTAACTCATCAACTGAAGATCAGGAGGTAGAAAATGAGAATCATGTTCCTTTCAGGAACTCGAAATTGACCTATTTCCTCAAACCCCAACTCACCAGTGAGAGTGCTAAGACTCTTATGATAGTAAATGCTTCTTCTGAGTCCGCTCATATTCCTGAGACGATCAATTCGTTGAGGTTTGCTACAGAAGTCAACAAATGTGTGGTCTCTAGATCTCGATAACTATATTTCCACTTGACTCAGAAGATAAGGGGTTTTGGGGTTTTGGGGTTTTGGGGTTTTGGGGTTTTGGGG